ATACGTCTATTGAGATACAGATCAGCATTTTAAATAAAGGTCTCTAATGGCATGATTTAAATAAGCTTTAAAGATTCTTTTTTTTTTGTAAATAATAGTTTTTTTTATAATTAACAAATAGGTATGTTATGTGTGATTATCAAATATACTCGTATAAGCTATAAAACGAAACACATCCTTAACTTTTGCACAGATAATCATATTTAAAAGATAGAACTTTTTAACAGATTCGTCAAAATGGTTAAAATTTTTGATCGTATATTATTGTGCCATTAACAAGAGAATTGAACTGTACTTAAAATTATCACAAATTAAGTGCATTAAATGTTGAAAGTTTAGACCCTAAAGTAACAAACAAATGAGTTAAAGTTTGTAAATTCTTCGTATTTTATTTATCAAACAAATCTTTATCTATATTCATTTATCTAGTTAATTAGACTTGACCATACATATATGTGTCATTCTAGAAGCCTCCAGACAATCTCCAAATAGAAAACCATATCAATCAAAATCATCAGTTAATGATTTTTATTATAACGTATTTTCCCGCGGGAATTACTTTGTTTTACAGTAAAAAGAAGAATGAATATACAAATAAACATTTAGAAAAAACATTCTCTACCCAACTTTAAAACGTAAGCTTTGATCAACTCATTTCGAGCTTAGTACAAATGTAAGAAGGTTCTTTTTCAGCATGCGAATTTATAAAACAGTATTAATTTGATAAACATTACATTTAGAAAATTTAAAATTTCGGAAAAGAAAAGATTCTCTTAACATCTGTAAGAGTATCGGGATCTTAGGGGTCGAAATATCGAGCGACGTCCAATTTAGATGTCATCTGGAAGAAAAAGCCAAATTGGCTTCCAAAAAAATGTGTGTCCTTAACAGAGCGAAACAGTATTTCACGTCAGGGCATCGACTTTTGCTTTATAAAGCACAGGTTCGCCCTCTCATGGAGTACTGTTCTCATCTCTGGGCCGGCGCCCCCCAATACCAGCATCTTCCATTTGACTCTATCCAACGCCGGGCAGTTCGTATTGTCAACGATCCCGTACTCATAGACGACTTAGATACTCTAAGCCTTCGGAGAGATGTTGGCTCTCTGTGTGTTTTCTATCGTCTATACAATGGAGTGTTCTGATGAACTTTTTGATATGGTGCCACCGTCGCGCTTCTATCATCGCACCCTTCGCCGTCGGGTAGGATGTCATCCACACATTTTAGATTCTTGGCATTCTACAAATGTACGTGCGTCTCGATCATTTTTACTTCGCACGTACAAGATGTGGAATGATCTTCCTCCCGAGGTATTCCCTGAGCGCTATAATATGGTGCTCTTCAAGAGTAATGTCTATAGGTCCCTTAAAGGCCGGCAACGCATTCGCAACTCCTCTTGTTTTGCAGATGTCCATGAGCGACGATAGCCACTTACCATCAGGTGAATCGTTTGCTCGTTTGCCCCTTTTTTCTATAAAAAAAAAAGATTCTCCAAGGTCTCGCAGATTAGAGGATTAAATATGTTATAATAATATTGTTAGTATTCAGCATAAATTGCGCTGTGATAGAACAAAGTTCAAAGCATCATCAAACACATTAGTTACACGTAGGTGCAAGTTGAGGAAAGTGACCGTATTACTGAGCAAGGTCAGCTAGTAATCACTTTCAGGAGTCGTATTAGAATTACCTGCCTCAGGGGAAGACCGCTTAAACTGGTATTAAAGAGAAATACAGATAAAATAAAAGGTATAATTTAAAAAAAAAGTTGGAAATATAAAAGTGTAATATAATTGTAAAATTGTAAGAATCTAGTTCACTCTAAAGCGACCTCAAACCTACACCATTGCGTGACTCAGACTTCCCGTTTTGGACAACTGTTTTAACCGATAAGAATACAATACGCAAAATACACGAAAACTGTGACATGACTGACCTAAAATATACTATAAATTAATTTTCTTAGTAAATTCACCTGCAGTTAAATTCATTTACTAACATTTTAATCTTCCTAATAAACTTAAAACAGAAATAAAGGAATACTAAACAGCTTTATGAACAAGATCGAGATTCGTGTCAACAACAAATAAAGGCGGAGACTATAAAGCTTCTTATCAGTCGGCTGTTTGGCCAAGGAATGAGTTATCTACCGCACTATTTCTTTTATTTATATCTTTTATAATATATAATGGAAAAATACGTTTTTAATATAAAATTAATACTGTATAAACGCTCCAAATGTACGTGAAGCTATTAACATTCTTTACAATAATAGAAATAACTATTCGACAAGTGGAATCTTGGAAACTTTCTTACTAACGTTGAACACTAACGACGGAAAACTTTCAATGCTTAGTTTTTTTGTTTCGAATAAAAAAATACATTTCTGCTAGAGCTTATTACAAAATTGTTGAATTATATATAAAAATAATGTAATATTTTTATTAGATTTGAAAACTGTCCAAAAACTAGCTGTTTTTTCTTACAGTTCAAGTTTTTTTTTCAGGTGCTTGACTTAACTTTTACATATCTCGATGACTATATAAGTTATGGATTGATTGCAAAGATCTTCATGTAATCAATGTAAATATTATAGATGTATAGTATAAAATATATGAAATATTTTAATACATATGCCCATTAAAATTGATTTCTACCATGTCGATGCTTGCTAATGTGAAAGTTGTAGAAAATGTCGTGTGAATATAATTTTTTTACGAGAGCGCAATCGTATGTAGAAACTAGTATTATTTAATTTTGTTTATTTCTTGTCCAATGCAATAAAGTGACACGTAGTTTTTCTTTGTCATCATCCAGACAAAAATAATTTACATAGAAATAAGTTGAAGCAAATAAAGTTGAGAAAGAAAATAATATATGAAAATTGGAAAAAGTAGTCGTTTCTTGTTGAATACATTATATCTGTTAAAATGTTTTACTTGTTACTACATATCATGTGCGAATCAAGGTAAATATCAAGTTATCATTTGTAACATGACAGTTTTCTTTCTTTACATTTATGAAAGATTTTATATTATAAAATAGCAGAATCCGCGGCTTCGCTCGCGCTAAAACTACAAATAAAATCTCTAAAAAGGTAGGTTTCATACAACCTTTCATCCCCTATTTTACCCTCTTAGTGGTTGAATTTTGGAAGACGCTGTAATACGTAACTCATTATTTTTGCCATTCATACGTCATGCAAATATGTCCAAGGAATAAAAAGTTTCATACAAACTCTTATCCCCTATTTCACCTCCTTGGGGGATGAATTTTAAAAAATCCTTCCTTAGTGGGTGCCTCCGACATATGAGGAAAATGTGTGCGAAATTTCAATTTTCTAGCCTTAATAAAGTTTTTTGGTAATCTAATCAACGTGCCTTATAAAATTATTTTAATCAGAAGTGGGTTATTTGTTTATTAATTGACTTGATGATTTTGGATCGATATTTAATCATTTTCAATATTTATTGTGAATAAAGCTTTATATAAGAACTGAATACATTAAAAAAACCACGTGCATAGAGCCTCAACCTTCTATTACATACGTTATAATATTCTGTCGGAAAGATCACTATCAGTTCTGAGTAGAACCTACATGAACATTGAACATCCATTTATACAAAGAGAATAATACAGATTATCAAAATGAAAAGCTTTTATGAACCAAAATAATAAATTAATGAATAAAGTAATAAAGAAATGTTGAATATTACGTGAAATGTAAATTTTTAATTAAGAAAACATAACAAATACAACACCTCTGAGCAAAGAATCTAGACATTTATATATCGTAAAATATCTAGTAATTCTCAGAAGACTTATTTTTTTTCAATTAAACCAGTAGTTGTGAAAAAGTAAAGACGTTTCACGTGAAAAAAAGATAAATAATATTATTTGAGCAATTGTTTACACAGTTAAAGATCTTCATACAATTTCTGAGAATCTGTACATTAAATGTTTTTTTGGAAAATCTTATGCAAATAGACATTATTATCGATACAGTGGCCGAATCTATAGTTTTTATAATTTTTGTCTGTCTTTCTGTTGGTGGCGCATCACTGGAAAATCACTGGCGCGATTTTGATTTTTGGTTTGATGGTAGCTGGTTATCCGGGTTAACATATAGGATACTTTACTGCGAGAAAATACCTCATCACTGAGAAATCTATACTAAACGTTAAAACGTAACTAGGAACGAATCCGAGCGGAGCGAGGGTAAGTCGCTAGTCTATACATATTATAATAAAATTGTAACTAAGTCGAATCTGTACATTTAATATTTATTTAAAATCTAATTGAAATAGACATTCAATCTATAGTTTTTAGAATTTTTGTCTGTCTGCCTGTCTGTTACCGCATCACGCTAAAACCACTGGACAGATTTTGATGAAATTTGGTATGATAATAGCTGATTATCCGGGTCAACATATAGGATACTTTTATCGAAGCAAAATATCTAACTTCTGAGAAAAAATACAAAAACTGCATTGTAAGAGTATACTAATATGTAAAACCTAAGAATTTGGTTATTGATCATCTGAACGCGGGCGGAGCCGCGGGTAATGCTAGTATTCTATAAGTTGTTTGGCAAAGCTCGTACTGCTGAAATGCGTCAGCTAATTTTGAACAATACGTTTGTTGTACTTTCTAACCACTCCCTATTGTATTTATATAATGCTACTTTATTATATGTATAATGCTAATATATAATAAAATATATCTTTTGCTTAACATTTCTTATAAGTTGTATATAATTCCAAATTTAATATCTTGGAATTAAGATTCCACATTAAGTTTGTACAAAAACTGTTAAGAAAATGTTATTTTATATTTCTAAGGGTATTGATTTAAAAATATATCATAAAAATATCAGTTGGTACCTAATTGTGAATTATCCAGTATTTTATGTGTAAAATATTTTTTTACCTAAGTATGTACAATTTACATATAGATATGCATGCAACTGAAAACTAAATAAAAACTAGCGAACCTGTACTTACATCATTAAAATAAGCTTGTTCAAGACGTTGCCTGGTTTTGTTTGTTTTGCTATAATCAGGAAGACTTGATTGCCGTCGCATGCGCATTCTTTGTTCTCTATCCATAGTCATCAAATCAGACTTTTGAGATAACACTAAATAATGTAATCTATGTACTATATCCATTGTAAATGATATCTAAACAGAAGCTTTAAACTTTAAAATGTTGATTTTCGTTTAAAAAATTATAAAGTAATAAAATTTGTAGAGTAATTATTGAAAAAAGAAAAGTTTAGGATTAATTAAAAAATAAAATTTGGCTAATATGTCTCACATTTGAAAATTACATTTTCGCGATTTATCAACGAACTAAACGCAGAACTAAATATTTCGAGGCCATCTCCACACTCCACAAGTATAAAACCACTGTCAAGTTTAACATAAAAAGAATAGAGACGATAGGTATCTAGAAAAATATAACGCACCAAGCCCTTAGTCACAGGGCGGGCGGGAGTCGACTGACTACTGACTCGACTAGGCGTCGGATGTAGAACGCCTCCGACGTTTCCCGGCAACCGCTTGCTAACAACACGTTCTATTCGACCATGAATACTTCGTAAAAATCACTTTTATATCTAATTTGTTGAATTGCTCTTAGAAATGGTTTTTCTATCGAAATGTGATTTGTAATAAAACTTTGAAACTATTTTGTCCTGAATAAGATTCAGTCGTTATTAAGTTACATAACAATGTATTAAAGAATAATTGAGGCCGTGAAAATAATCATCATTTCGAAAAGTAATCTGAAATTATTAATAATTCAATAAGTGTAATTATTGTTATTTGATGTTCATTGCGGTTCCCGGATCGACGATCATATTATTAACTAAACTTTCGTAGAATGCTAATTTGATTATATAATACCTAGAATACACGTATTCCTTGAATGCTAAATAGATGAAGAGATTATTTGTCACGATGCGTTTAATGCTTGATTCTACCAGGTCGACTCCCACATGAAGTAAATAATTGAAATATTTGCACAAGTCTATTTTTTTATTTTGAACTATATCTTTTAAAATGCTTTTGAATCATTATTGAAATATGTAGAGTCAATCGAGGAGGAAACTGTCTCCGTCTCGAAACTTTTCTCCTCAACCGAATCGGTGACAAACGCAAGATACACAAAAGTTTCTCCTTTAAATTTTAAGCTACAGTTTTTAAAATGAGTACCTAATAATATATTTCACATAGTAAAATAGTATCTATATAGCTTTATTAAAGTGACATATTAGAAATCTTCATTTTAGAGATGATATCGTAATTTATTTAAATCAGCTTGCAGGAAATTGCAAGCTTTTAAATCAAAATTACACACGCAAATAATTTTTAAAGAAGTAATACTTAATTGATTACTATTTACTTCAGTATAGTTCTATAACAAAACATATTTCTGAAGATAAGATTTGTACAGAATTAAAGGTCAGTTAGATTTATAACTTCCCTAATTGTTATTTCGAAAATCGGACTTGCGCAAGCAATTGAACGTGCATCGAGGATATCGTAGCATCAAAACGTTTGGTGCTACGGAATGATGAATGTTTTAACTAACGTAATTAGTACAATTAAATATTTACCCATATATAATATTCACTTAAATAATAAATTTAATTTTGTAATAACATAAAAAACCAATTTTAAATAAAACTATCTTTTCGGATTTTTTCGCGAATTTATTTTTATTTTTGGTTCCCGACGTTTCGAATGCTTTACAGCATCCATTGTCACGGGAGAGACTGAGGTGTTACATGTCTTGAAGGTATAGTTGTTACAGACAGCCTACCCACAATTAACAAAATGAAAATTGCACCAATTACATTACAATATTTTTTAACTTTAAAACATTTTTATAATTTTAATTATAATTGAATATGGATTATTTGAATTTGAACATATATGTACCTACTATGACTGAAAAAAAACGTAAATAGCACACAGACGTACAGACGCACATTGCGTATATGAAAAATTATAAATATTCAACAAAAATATTAAACATTTTACCTAGATTGGGAATAAGCTATTAACATCTATTTTACATCTTTAGATACCTATGTTCTTAAAATAAATTCAATGAAACGCGATTTCAAAATTGCCTACTAAGTTATCAATATTAAAAGACTAAAAGTTAGTTCGAAAATATTCTAAATATAAAGTTAAATTAATGTGCATATTTTGAATTGAAATTTACTAGGTAGGTAAATGTCAAGTTGCAAAAATGCTACTGGCAACAATTTTCTGAAAACTGTAAAATGTTCACTATTAATTACAAATTTGGAACTTATGTATGAACTTAATATACCTTCTCATAAAAGATTAGTTATTATCGAAAGCTCCTTGTTCTTATATTTTTAATATTTTTACGTAATATTGCTTAAAATTGATAAATATTTAACCAAAAATTCACATGTCGACAGAATAGATGTGCTCAATATTAATAGAATAAAAATTCAATATTTTATAATTCTGCAAATGAACAAATATTTACCAAATTATGTTAAACTTTGAGTGTGGCGACGTTTGGACGTTAGTTGTTTATGCTGGAAATATGTTGTCCAACTTGGTTAGCCAATTTTTAATATTAAAATTAGAATTATAACGAGTACATATTTATTTTAGCCTGTTTTATGGCAAGACCACAATGAATAATGAAACCTAATGTTACGTGCCATTGTTAAGTTCAAAGGGATAAAAGTAAAAAGATGTACCTACCTCATTACTCTATGCCCACTGCTCAGTATATTTTTATAATAATTTTCTAAATCAGTAACACTTGGATGCTTTTGTACAGGTTATAATTCGCCTTACGCTTCAAAGGTTGTTATTACAAGATGGTTTTTAACGGACTTCCAAAAAGGACGAGGTTCTCAAATCGGAATCTTTGTTTTTTATGTATGTTCACCGATTACTCGAAGACGCCTGAACCGATTTGGAATATTTTTGTTTTGTTTCGAAGGGTATACTTCCCAGGTGGTCCCATTTAAATTTTATCAGAATCGGTCGAGCGGTTTTTAAAAAATCAAATAAATTATTTTTTTAAATAAATTGCTTAATCGAATATGTTATTATAAAACTTTCTTCTTACAAATTACCTGCTTGCTACATCTACACTAAAAATGGAAAAATAAAAACTTAAAAAAAACCGACTTCCAGGCATCAAAATGTAAAAAATAACTAAGTAAACGGGGGTTTTCATTTAGAATTCCTAATCAGATATTTTCGAAGTCGGTGCCAGCCGATGCAAAGCAAATCTAATATATTTCAATACCTAAAATACATTACTAATTGATGTAAAATATTTTAACTATAATTAGAGTTCATACTAAATCATATTTACCTATTAGATATTCATATCTTAAAAAATTGTCGGCTGGCACCGACTTCAAAAATATCTTATTAGGAATCTATTCTAAATGAAAACTCCCGTTTAGTTATTTTTTACATTTTATTGCCTGGAAGTCGGTTTTTTTTAAGTTTTAGCCAAGCCCACAGCGCGCTGTAGTAGGTAGTCGGTTAAGTAAAGGAAATGAAATGTAGGTAGCTACCTAATTATTTTTAATAATGTAACATTCATTTATTATTTTATGTGCCAGTTCATGGATTTAAAAGTAGATTTTTGATGTGTCAAGTGGACAGTCGGTGATTCGCATTCTAATATATATAAACTAGCATTGAACGCGGCTCCGCCCGCGTTCAGATGACCAAAAACCAAATTCTTAGGTTTTACATATTAGTAATTAGTATACTTTTACATTGTAGTTTTTCTCAGAAATGAGACATTTTCCCGCGGTAAAAAGTATCCTATATGTTGACCCGGATAACCAGATTATATAGATATATTGTATATGTTGACCCGGATAACCAGATTATAGATTCGGATTCTGTATCGATAATAATGTTTATTTAAATAAGATTTTTCAAAAAATATTTAATGTACCTACAGATTCGGCTTAGTTACAATTTTATTATATGTATAGATGTAAAATGACTACTTATTCAGAGAAAGCAATAAGTATAATTGTTAATTGCTAAATATTTGTTTTCCTGGAAAATCCTTCTGAGCTGTTTCAATAATTAATACTTATAAATTAATATTTTAAAGCCTCAGACTAAAGAATTATATTGAAAGAGTCCGCCAAAATAAATGTCTAAGTCAAAAGCAGCTTGATTTGCTGTGTATGCTGTGCTATGCATGGTTGTCAACTTCACCGACAAAAGAATTGAGATCTAAATAGGTGCAAGGTTCTGTAGATAATCCTGATTTTTTTTTCATAAGAACATACGACATTTTAAAATAAATTTAAAAAACAATTTCTTGTTTTTCTACAAAATTGTTTGCTATTTCTTCTTAAATTTAAACAGTCGAATTATTTACACAAAGTAGATAATTTAGGATAAATTGAAGTTCAAGATTTGACTTGGCTAGTTCTTACTTGAACAAGTTATCTTATATTCGGCTAATCACTTATATCTTCTTTATGCTATACGCAAGTTACTGTTTTTATATTGTAAGGTCAACGCGGGCGAAGCCGCGAGATCTGCTAGTGATTTCATATGCCTAATATAAAACACATACCTACTTCATAAGAAAATAATACAAAATAAAATTAATTAGTCTTATTTTTTTTTAATATTTTAAAAACACCATACAACACGATGCGAGCGGTCTTATCTGATTACACAGACGATGAAAATTTTAAATAACCGCGAAAAAAATAAAAAAAATGTTTTATTTAAAACGGCCAAATATTTATTTAAGTTATTGGTCTTCTCTATCAAGAAATTCTTAACAGCCTAGAGTAGAGAAGTTATTAGTTATCTGTGATTAATGCCCGATTCCACCAACAAGCCATAAGCTACCACCTACGTATGGGATCCCTAGCTTTAAAGTCCCCTAAACTAGCCCCTAAATTAAATTTCGTTTTACGATCGTCTTTAAGCCCATATTTCTAGCACCTAAATTTAGGGGGCCTTTTAATATTTAGGTGACCCCTAACTGTCGGTGAAAGAAACTGTCCCCTAACCATGCTTAGGGGATCCCTTAAACTTCGGTGACGTTGGTGAAATCGGGCATAAGTGTTTTTTCATCGTTCGGGTCGAATTGCCGTCCCACCCGACTTTGAGAAGGGATCATAGAACTCTGACTCTGTGCCAGTTTCAGTAAAATTGTCCGAATTCGGATAAGAGGATATTATTATTATCCTATCCTCTTATCTCGTCTAGCAGTCCTTTTTAAGTGCAACTAGCGGATAAGTGTCACGGCCTTAATGTATTTTTATGACATGGTATCAAAGAAACGTGACCTACCTACATCTGCTTTGTGCTAACATGCTAAAAATGCTACTTGGTCTGGCACTTTTGTATTTACAAATTCAATTATTTGTCACATTAAAAGAAGACTATCAAAGTGGTAATAATCGTATGGACTGCACCGAGGTTTGGGTAAGAACATTTAGAAGAATCTTGCGAAGTACTTTTAATATTGTTAAATTGTGTAAATTTTTGAATAAGCTGGTATAAAAACGCGGCACTTATTTTTTTTTGTCTATATATGAATTAATTTTTTTGAGCATACCAATGACAGTCGTCATGGAAGATTATAAGGCAAAGAATATAAAAGACAATGTTTTTAAATGGTTTTTATTAGTAAGGCAGTATTTTTATTATAATGATTCAGTAAAAGGAACGGCTTGAAAACAGAGAAATTAAAATATTTTTCTTACATTTTTTTATATACGACACTGTAACAGTATCTGTATTGAAAACCATTTTTTATCTGTAAAGGCAGCAAGAAAAATACTTATATAGACCAATAAATTAATTCATTATTTAAAAAAAAGAGAACAAAAGTAGAAAACTTCTGCTATCAAAGCTTTCAAATAAAATAAAATAAACTAATACTTTACATACTAAATGTTAAATGGTAAGAAAATATATTGGTACATAATTAATCTGTGCATTTCATTTATAATCCTAAATTACTATTAAACTTTAAAACATCACTGCTTTATTTAATAACTTTATCTATATATTATTATATTATTTATTGCAGTTTTGAACCAAAACAAAACATTATGGTTTATAGCCCAGGCAATGCATTTTAACCTTAATTTATCTACTATATGGATTTATAAACTCGAATATGAAACTGTGACCTGTTGACCCTAAGACCTGCAATGTGTTTTCATCGCCCAGGCTTTCACTTTTAAATAAAAATTACAATCTATTTGATATGTAACTAGTAAATTGAAGACTTATTTATACTAAAATGTACAAAATTCAAACCATTATGTTATAATCGAATTCAAAATACTTTATTTCATTATGGTAAAAAGAATCATGGAACTGTCATTTTTTAAATTCATGTTTACCAAGTTGGTTCAGCTATTAGTATATCAACAGAAATATATGTTGTAATAAATAAAATTCCATGAAGATTAAAATTTAATACTGTACCCTATGAATACTTATTATTTATTCGTAGACTGTACCCTACAAATAATTTCCCAAAGAATATAAGAAATATTACAAACACAAATAAAATACAAATTAAATTGGGTTTTTGTACAATTTAGCATAACTAAATCCCAATATTTGTGAAAAAGTACATAAATAATTCAATAAAATGTTTGTTGGTAAAGAACAGAATAATATTCAATTAGGAATTATAAGCTAACAGCACCTATTTCTTGATTTTGACACAAAATGTATCAGGAATCAATTTATTTATATTAATCTAATAAATATATTTACTAATACCAAACAATCATTGACATATACAACAATGTTTAAATTTTATTTATAGAATCTTTATAGTTTATAAATTCATACATAATATTCAGAAACATGAGAAAAAAATATTTTATAATCTTAGATCCAACTATATACATAAAGGAAAACATTGTCTTGGCAAACTTTTTTTGAATTAAATTAAATTTTATTTTCACAAAAACAAGTGAAAGTTATAATACTTGAAAAACATTTTTGAAGTAAAACTTCTTTAGGCGTGACTTCTTCTAGTAACTAACTTCTTTAGGTAAGTCAATGGAAAAATGAGTAGGTATATATGTAAGGTATATATATAAAAATATAAAGGTATATTTACATTTTTATAATAATTATAATTTATAAAAACATGTATGTATTATTAATAATTTTATAATAATTATTATAGATACAAGTATTTATTACTAGTAATTTTATAAAAAATATTATATTTATATTTGGATTTGTTTCAATTTAAATGCGGTATCTGCCACAGCGCCAAAGAAGTTTTACTTCAACTGCGCGTAAAGGTTACACGCACACATTTTTTTAATCCAATTATTTAATATGTTAAAAAAATGATTTTTTTTTTATACCACGACGGTGGCAATCAGGCATGCGGCCCGCCTGTTGGTAAGCGGTTATTGCAGCCTATGGACGCCTGCAACACCAGGGGCATCACATGCGCGTTGCCGACCCTTTAAGAACCTATTTATTCCCCTTTTGAAGGACCCCATACTGTAGCCCTCTGGGAAAACCTCGGCAGGGAGTTCATTCCTCAGCGAAATATTCCGTAGGAGGAAATTCCTCTGAAACTGAACTGTACGGGACCATTTAGGCTGCAATGTGTGAGCATTGCTATAATTTTAATATAAAAGTCATATATGTTGCATAACTTCAAACGAAGGTGTCCCATAATGTGCTCAGTTCTGAATTAAATAAATAACAAAAAAACTCCTGACAAAATTTATAATTTACTATCTACAAATATCGTTTTTATAGTTCATAGTTAATCAAATAAATAAAAAATAAATAATATAAATATCTTATATTTATATATGATTAAATTTTCAATTTAACTAATCTATATGTAAGATGTCAATATAAATGTTTTTATTGGCTTTTTCATATGAGAATAGGAATAGTGCTGTCGTAATTTCACTGTCGTATTTTTGTAACTTCACATAAAAGATTTTTTTTAGCGATTAAATCACAAAAATATTAATTGTTTCTTAGGATGCATTTACTTTTTTTTGAAGTTATGCAACATTCATATACATTGTTTTATTATAGTTTTTGTAAACAATTCACTGCTAAGCGGCTTGAATAGCTTGTCAAAAATATACAAAATACCTGGCTCTATTAAAGCTTGACATGAAACATTTAAATTAAATTTTCCTATTAACAAGTTGTATGTGTTCAATAAAGTCATAATGTGAGGTACATGTTACTGTTATGTTCCCATTGTTACCAAGGCAATAGTTAGGCATGTTTAACAAAGTACAATTCGTTAAGCCATTAACATGAACAATTTTAAAAATAATTTCATTAATTTAACGTGCAACCATTGAACAGTTTAGAAATAGAATATATTGTTTACTTAATTACAGTATAATTTATATCTTATAACAACAGTCATACATTATAATATATTAGCTCCAAATTTTAAATAAAAATGGAGTATATAATTTACTAAGAAATTGTATACACATGTATATGCATTTTAAATAAAAGCAATACACATAATATTATGGATCTAATATTTTTGATTTCCCATTTAATTTTCCGAGCTGTCCTAACATAAGGACCGTGTTGATTAAGTTTTCTGAATAAATTCTTTGATTAGTCTCCATTCGTCTAAGTTTTTGGACCACATATTTAGAAAAAAATTCTAACTCATACTCATTACCCTGAGATCTAGGGTCAGTGTCTTCGGAACTCCTTTTACGTTTTTGAGGGCCACTTTTCACAGATGAAGTTCTAGTTTTTGGTTTTGAACTATCATTTATTTTTTCAGATTCACTATTAACAAATGCAAGATTCAAGTCTTCACCTAGATCATTGGCTTCTTCTTCATTCAGTTGAATTGTCAAATCATCTGGCACAGTGACCATAGGTATGTGGTTATCAGAAAATATAGGTGATGGTAGAAAAGAGACTCGCTTACGGACTTTTACAGGATTTTTAGCTTTAGCTGTAACTGCAATTTCACCACCAACTGTATGTCTCCTATTGTTGTTTCCCTTGCTTATCTCAGGTTTATTTAACCTGTTTATTGTTTGCTTACTACTCCAAAAGTTAACTTTAATTTTAGGTTTGGGCTTTGGTTTTCTTTCTACTTTAGGTTTTAAAGGAGATTTTGGGAATTTATATCGAATATTGTCATCATCTTGTGCTTTTACATCTTGTTTCTTTGCAACTTTAGCTGTACTTTTTGAAGTGTTATTAAAAAAATCTCTATTTAATTTATATCTTACATTATCATCATCTGATTGATAACCAGTTTTCCTTGATTTTTCACTTGATGCTTGTTTCATGTTGTAAATACAAAGCAAAAACTACGTTGAAGTTCTTAGAATCCTGAAATATTAAAAATAAAGTAGTTTGAATAACTTAGCTTCTGACAGGTCGTATCACAAAGCAATGTTTCCCGCCTAAACAGTAAACAATAAATTTGCAAGTACCTATTTGTTTTTAATGAATGTTATTCATGACTAGGTAGTACTAATCGTCAAATAAAGGTAATAAGTTAAATGTGATACGATCGTACTAAAATAAGAAAATCGAATTAATAAGATAATTTTGAGGTTATGTTACTTAAAGAGAAAAGTATAAATTACACTATTGTGTTAAAAATTCGTCCAGTAAATTTGTGCATATTATTTTCAATTAATATTATCGTTTATATTTTCATCCTTTATCTTAGTAAAATTGTAATATCTGCCTCATCATCAATATTTTTTTACGGCACGACTAATTACATAACCAAAAAGATATAGTTAAATGTGACTTACCCTCATGTAATATTCTAGAAAGTTTATTCTGATCACTTGTATATTACTGACACTAAGTAATAAATATTTTTTTAGAACCATACACGTCTCGAGTAACACACCATAATCACAACTACATGACGCATTTTAGTTCACGACATTGTCGTAGAGGCGCAGCGAACGCGCGGGAAAATTGGTATGGTAGCGTTCATAGGAAAATAGAATTCGTTTAAAGAAAATTACCGTTCATTTTCCTAGCTGTTTTTAGACAATAAAATATTTATATAGAAATAAATATTTAAAAAATGCTCAATTAATTATAAGAACCATGATAAAAATATCAATATACGAGAATATCATATCAAGATGTTATTTGAGTATTAATTAATACAATACTTGGAATACCTAAAATATCTGTTGATTTGTTAAAGCTCCTAAAGTATAACAGGAGTAGGTGACTTATTTATAAATTAGGTAAGTACTCATTGAAATATTTTGGCAGCGTTTTCATATATATTATAATTTTTAATATAATTTATTGAAATAAATATACGAAAATTATTAATACGTCGTAAGTTCTGGTTAATAATGGTGTGTAATTTAGTGTACGCAAATAAAATTTATTATAATTAATTAACAAAGCTTAATAAACGTTATGAATTATAGTAATAATCTTTTTAAACCTGCTATGAAGGCATACATAAATTATGAAGAATTAAATGCGGGCTATTTAGCAAAAAGGACTTACTTACCATATGATTTTTCATTGAAATCCAGCCCATCTTGGCACGAAACTTAAATTTTCTTTTAGAATCCGTGATTACGAATGTACAATGTCACAAATCAAACAAGTCTTTTTACCAAAATGTAAATTAATTACAATATCCCTATATAAAACACAGCTGATGTAATAATACGTAGGTTATGTCAGTCCGTGAGATCTCATCTCAGATTCCGACTGAATGAGGGGGAGGCTGTGCGCAATGCGGCACTATTCACTTTGAAATAACTTATTGTTATTAAATCTTTTTAATTATAAATAATAATAATATTTGCTCTAAATTCATACTAAGTATAATAATAAACAATAAAAATGTATTTTAATAATTTATATAAATTACTTACTTACCTTTTCGCGAGAAGAATAAAATTTCACAATTGAACACTGTTTTAAATTAAAAGTTACTATTTATTTACCACGATTTTTATAGAGTATTCATACAGTTAAATACAAAATTTTAAGGAAAACACTGTAAAGATAAAGAGTAAAATAGCGGGAAATATTGAAATATATTGATTCGAAGTCGGGTGCCTACTCCGCATGGTTTGGAGAACTGTCGCAACATGGCATGCGCAGTGTGCCTAGAGACTAGAGAGCGTTTATTTACAATGAATGCGATCTCTATCCAATGTTGAAGGTCTTCTTTTCAAAACAAAATGCTTAATATGTATTTTATAACTTAAGAGGTTTTTGAAGAGAAAACTTTCGTAAATATCTTGAGATGAAGTATTTTTTTATATTTTATTTTATGGTTTCTGTTTTCCAAAACTTATAATATTGATAGTCGATAGTATAATATTTAAATACCGTCTAAAAATTGTCTATATATTTAGTACTAAAATTAAGCATTAATCTAAGATTGCTTAATAATATAAATTACTAGAAAATATTAGAACTATTTTGCCTCTAACGTCAAGAAACTATTTACAGTTAATATTTAACTACCTTTTCGCATTCTTAAGTTTAAAAACATTAATAACTATTTAAAGTAAATAATAATAATCTACTAAACAATTACACTTACCTGAGCTCTAACAGCAGCAAGATGAAGTTGTGTAGCGCGGTATTCATATTTTTTAATAGAAATTTCCTCCTGTAACAAATTTATAATGTGCTTAAAAAAATATAATCTTATATTATGAAAATAAGTAAACAAACATAGAATGCGATATTATATTTTCGAAAATTTTAATGAACGCCATCTTTTAAACATACAAGTTATTATATTGAAAGAGACAAAAATAGAAAGAGGTTTTATAATACAGTTTTAACACGTACATTCCCATAGATGGCTCTAGTATCTACAAATAGTTCTATTTAAAAAGCGGATATAGATGGCGCTATTCAAAAATAATACCACAGCCTATTTAACATTTATTATATATATTTATTTTTTTACAATAAGTATTGTCTTTTATTTAATACTTTCACAATACTGTGCAATAAAGTTAATATTATATGTAAAAAAGTTTAAATAAAGATCGTGACAGTTTTAACAACGTTTCCACTTTCCGAAAACTCAGATTAGGGATTGCATTCTAGAGACGAGCTTCAGCAATATTGCGTATTGGATTATCTAATTTTGATACAACTAGGAACTGCAACTGCATGGCCCTTCTAGTACACTTGATATGTTTTTAATAACTTTACATGTGTTTTTCTTTTTAATTTTTTCTCAATTAGCAAGTAGTTTAACATTTTGGTGTGTTTCGATTACAAAAGCATTTTGGTATTTTATCTTGGACAATGAGCATGCATGGCAATGATAAACTAAAATAAATTAGTATATATCTCAATAAATATAAATTTTCTTTAATATAGTCGATTCTGCTTAGTAACAGTTTTGTTAATATGTAAAAGCCTTTTCTGTAGAAACCTATTTTCGCGTTATATTTACTTAGTATGTTTTTTCATTGACATATCTAGTAGATTTATATATCGTATTAGGTACTTCTAACAAAGTATTTTTTGTGTTATACTGGATTTACTGGGAAAACTTGCGTACTTATTAATTTAAGCGTACTTCTGAACATTTCAATATTAACTCCACTTTATAGACAGCATCATTCAGTCATTGAAAAAAAATTATAAATAGGATCAGCTTTTATGTTTTTTATGGCAACGAAAAATTATAACCACACATGAACATTGATATTATATTAATTTATTTTTAAAATATAAAAATTGTCTTTATTTGTATGTTTAAAAGATTACTAATAATAAGTGTAATTTATTAAACGCACTAAATTGTTTACAAATTCATTCGATGTTCTTTCAGTTTTTCTCTACCAGTCAATCGTAGAAGTATCAACATTGAAGTAGTAAGTAAAAAACAATTATACAATAACACACTATTTAAATATAAACTAAATATGGATTAATTATATTTAGTACCTAGTTAGTTATAATAATATTACTTATTAAATTAAATAACCCTCCTTTGGGCTTCGCCGCAGTCGGGTAATTAGGTAGGGTTTTAAAATTTTACTTATTTCTATGAATTATTAATTTTATTATATTCCTGTCAATTTTTTGGCAAATACCAAGCTTTGTATTAATTAGCGAATAAAGTGAAAAGTAAATGTTATGAATTTTGAATTATAAGTCGAGCGCAAAATTTTAATGGCTGACTCACAATTATTATAAAACTTGAAGGTTATTAAAAAGTTCCGACAATAATTAGCTTCTCCGTCGAAACAGCAACAATGTTAAATTTTTAGTATTGATCAGATTGTAAGTATTTTTGATATCTGAATTGCTCTCGTTATGTATAATAAATGTTTATATACGTTTCATATTTTTCAGCTTGACTGCTCATAGTAAAAAAAAAACATTAGACCCTACCACGCCCCGGTATTTTCGTTACAATTGTTTGATAGCGTGAAGTTTTGCACTTTTTACTCAATAAGAACTGGGATTGCAAACTATATGAAATAAAATGTCATAATACAATGGAGGGTAACTCTGTATACAATTTCTTTCAAAGACGTCTTTCACAATAGTGTCAAGTTGCCAGTAAATTCGAGTCTCGGATAAAATCTATTATTCCTAGCTGATACTTTATATTTATTATGAAATATCGGGGCGTACGATGCCATCTACATGTTACGTTGTATATTATGCTTTAATAGGTTACCTTAGATGATATAAAGTATAGATAGGCCATAATGATCACAGTCATTTTCATTTGCCGTTAAAATAATATCTTTAAAGTTTTTGGCATTAATATATTTTAACACCTCCAGGTAAATTTCTAAGAAATTAATTAAATTTCTAAGAAATCTATTGTTAACTGTAACGCCGGCGTGTCCGCGTTCGTGGAGAGACTATTATATTCGACATAATATGTTGTAGCTCGACTTTTTTCCTTAAATGCGTGACTTTCGGCTAATATACGTTTAAGGTCCGATATCAGACCAAAAGTAACATTTTTATTCTTTATATAAAGATAATATATTTATTCAATAATTTGCCCACTACAAAAATTTAACTTGCTACGTCCAGTATAGTACGGAGTGCTTATAAACTACAAGTAGCTCTACTTAGCGATACTTCACTTTTCAGAGAGTCATTTTCTTAAAATGAGAATTAAAAAAAAAAGCATTTTTCGCGAAAAAACGGCTTAATATATGAGCCTGTAGTTCCTTCATAAATATTATGTTTTGAATCACTTAGAATATGAATATAAATCAACTCACTAACCGAATTCATATTACTTTTATGACTTGAATTTTAACTATTTTTTAACTTTTTTGTAGATTTCGCTAAAATAGTACATTTAAGATATTCAGCATGTAGAGAATGTGATCACTTTAGTGCTTTAGTAGACAGAAGGCAATCAATTTTGTGGTCACCCTACCTATAGGTACATATATATGTGCGTTTCTGACATCGATGTCGTTATAATTAACATGTTCACTAGGTTGTAGAAATTGAATTATAAATTACATTTAATTATATATAAGAATGTTATTTTATGTGAAGTTTCGCACATTGAAACAATTTTTATGGTGCTGAATGAATAGTTCTAAAATAAACTTTTATGTTATGTCCCAATAAAAAAATATACCTATTAAATATAACCAAATGATATGTAAGATCTATATTATAATAATTGTTGTTTTAATATCTATGTATGTAATCGATGTCCTTAAATAACTCTTTGTATAATATATGAATAAAATAAAATGTCACAACTATGCACTCCTTTAATAAATTACAAAATATAAACTATATACTTACTTGTACTTCATTAACTTTGCTGTAAATATTGCTTTCGATGTTGCGAGCTTGGTGCCGAGCTAGCGAGTCCAGACCATCCTGTAAAAATGCTATACATTTTAATGTGTGTCATGAATAAACCTAAAAGCAATTATATGAGACCCTTTATAAGAGATTTATTTAAAAAAATAATGGAAAGGTCATGAATACGTAAATCACATTAACTTTAGTCTAGAATCTAGAATATTCTTAATACAAAGCAAAAAGTTATTCTACTTAGTAATTTCAGGATATACGGGTCTATTCATAGTTTTTGATAATAATTAGTTTTTGATAAGTACTTGTGACAAGGGTTTGATTAAATCTAGATTATTTAAAAGTTAAAAGTGTACCTTTTCCTGTTTATCGGAATGTAAGTGCGTGGAAAACATTAAAACACGCATAAAATAAAATAAATGGAGACATAAAAATTGGTATTTTATATTACATATTTGGACAGAAGTTGTCGAATGTAGGTTTAATTTTGAACAAGAGCTATACTTTTGTTTTAAATAATTTATGATTAAAAAAATAATAAAAGATTTATTTATAAAGAGTTTTAAGTTATACCTGCAATTGTTTAATTTGAAGCTCGAGATCTTGGGCGTCTTGTCGTAACTGCTCATAGCTGAGTCGCGCTTGTCCACCGCCCATCCTATCGAGCAACATCTCTCCGCGGAGTACTGGCGGCATAGTTTCCTAAAAAATAAAAAATAAAATAAAACTTTGTTGTTAAATCTGTCAATTTTTTTATTTACTATCTCCATTTTAATGATTAGTAGGTATAATCAATTATAATTTATCAATAATAATATTCTCTCCAACTCGTTTAATATAACTAACTACTATTTATTTTAATTGATGTGTACTGTTTTATTTACGTAACATAATATGTCCAGCCGAATTCTGTTGATTTATAGTTATTTACTTTCTTCATATTTGCGTAGGTAAAGAGTAAATCAAGAGCATATTCACTAAGATAGTTGTGAAATGTAAAATGGAGGTTTTATAACTGCTTTTACATAAATTATAAATTAAAGTCTTTTGCAAGTAGTCAAATTATCGACGACACATTTGGCTCAGTTTGTAATGACCCTACTTGCTGCGCCAGCGGTCGCGGGTTCGAGTCCCGCTGGGGGGCATTCATTTGTGTGATGAGCACGAATGCTTGTACTCCAGTCATGGATGTTTATATTTATAATATGTATGTATTTAAAGTTATGTATAATGTATCAACTATCTGGTAACCATAACACAAGCCTCGTAGCTTACCATGGAACTAGGTGGTGTTGTGTGTTAATGTCCTGACTATTTATTTATTATTATTATACCAAACTTACGCGCCTTCACGACATCAATGTAATTGAAAAGTGAAGCTTTAGCAATCTATGCCGTATTTGTACTTTTTGATTAAAAAAGTTTTGCTTTTTTATATTAAGTATTCTACATTACATGTAGGTACTATTTATTTTAACATAAACCAGAAATACACCAGAAGAAATATATATTTCTTTGAATTTCTTGTTTTTCTTGAATTTTCATCTTATATTCTATAAGTTTAAAACCTAAAAAAATGCCTGAAAATAATTAAACGATTTTTCAAGTGAACCACTTTAAATAAAACTATCTTTTCGGATTTTTTCGCGAATTTATTTTGATTTTTGGTTCTCGACGTTTCGAATGCTTTACAGTGTGCCTCTCATGAGAGACCTCTCCCGTGTGAAAAAATCCGAAAAGATAGTTTTATTTAAAATGTCAAGTATTCGCGTAAATCTAAGAAAGTATTATGTGAACCACTTTAGTTACTTTGGCTTTTCTTTGGGGGCTTTTGGGCGAACTCATTCATAAAAAATATTTATCTGTATAGGTATGTATGTACTTAATGTAATATTAGCTTTAATTATGTGAAGCTTCGTACGTTGGAACGTAATATCTATTTTACATTTTGAATAAAGTTTAGAATTTAGCGTACAATTTCATAGTATTCTGTTAAATTTACAATATTGTATCGATATTCCCTATGCAAGGACGCTTGCTTTTAGTTTGTACAGGTACATAAACTTGTTTGTTGTCTATAAACTAAAGTTTTAACATGAAGAGGTTTGTTTATAATTATAAGTAAACAAAAAATATATGAATTTTGGTACCATATGTTAACATTCAATGTCAACTTGTTGATAAAATCAGGTATGCATTAATTAAACTTTAGTATAGGGTTAAAATTTTCGTTACGTTTTGTTGTTTAACAGACAATATCTATATTCTATACCTTGAAATAAATTTACAAATTAAAGTTATCTTTATGTTTGAACTGGCAACTCATCCTCGCTTCGATCGGGGTCGTCCCTAGGTGTGTTTTAACGGTTAGTATGGAATGATAGACTATTATATGTATATACATAGGTATCTACAATATAAACAGTTCTGAACTTTTCGATACTCCAGCTGTTTTTTTTTTGATTTTCCCCATTCTTTTAATTTTTTTTATACTTAAACCACTCCTGACACAACTCCAACAAAACAAAAAAAAATGTCCAGTCGTTTTTGAGTTTTAGCGAGAGTAACGAATGGCAATTGATTTTTATATATATACATAGATACGCCTATTTTATAGTTAGATACTTCCGTAGTGTAATAATGATTGGAGTAATATCTTCAAATACTTAATGAAACGAATGCGAAATGGGTTTTCAAAGAATATTTAAATATATCTACATATACATATAATAAAATTGTAACTAAGCCGAATCTGTATATTAAATATTTTTTGGAAAATCTTATTGAAATGGACATTATTATCGATACAGAGGCCGAATCTATCGTTTTTAGATTTTTGTCTGCCTGTCTGTCTGTTACCGCATCACAGAAAAACTATTGGAGAGATTTTGAAGAAATTTGGTATGGTGATAGCTGGTTATCCGGATCAACATATAGGACACTTTTTACCGCGGGAAAATGTATCATTTCTGAGAAAAAATACAAAAACTGTAATGTAAGATTATACTAATATGTAAAACCTAAGAATTTGGTTTTTGGTCATCTAAATGCGGGCGGAGCCGCGGGCAATGCTAGTACTCGTATATATTTCAAAATTTCTCGTTTATGATCCTTTCAGGATATTACTGGCATTTTTATGGTCTTTAATATATATGACGCTTCGCATGTAATTTATTCCTTTACCCTAACAGATGGGAATGCGGCAAAGCTCTTGGGATAACAGAAGATATAGTTCCATTCATATTTATTTCATACTTTTTAATGGAGGGCAAATAACTTTGCCTATAACTGTATAATATACTGCAGTTTTGTTGTTAAAGTTGTTTTATGTCTCTCCTACCTAACATATAATTATAAGTCGAATGAAAATAACTCCTAAAAGTGGTTGTTATTGGAGAATATAACAGTTAAGTCCTATTAATTAATTTTTATGGTGTAAATAATACATAGCAAGACGATAATCGATTGTCAGCCCTAAGCTGCGAAACAGCCGTTTAATTTAGAGTAGATACGAGTACTTTGTAATCACAGCTACGTTAAAGAGACATATTTTTTTATGAACGATGGCGTATTCGGTGAAGTTCTTAGCATTTCAGTATCACGATTGATTGTAACCTTTAGTTGAAAATGCATAGATTTTAATACATATTTAATAATTTATTATTTTTTAATGAAAATTATTAAACGTGGATTGAAATATCTGCATTTTTGGTAATTTTTAGTGCAATTCACTCTTCTCCAATCTACGCTTTCTCTTTATATATGTATTGAGATAACGCGTGTAAGGAAAGTGTGTACTATAAACTTCTAACTACCTAATTCGTCACGTTTACGCCGAGATGAATCTGTAAGGGACAAGGGTATCAATCTAGTAATTAATTACGAGTACATATTAATTACATATAACATAGTTTATTTATTTATTATTTAAAATAGTAAGATCAAAATTAGTTCAAAAACGTTTTCCGATACGCCGTCTACTGTGATACTTATGTATTAAATACAAGCTGTACCCGCGGCTTCGCCCGCACTACTTCCGATCGCTAACAAAATTCACAGCATCACCCGCTGGGCTAATCTGAAGATTAAATGAAAATGTCATCAAAATCGATCGTGAAAAAGCAGTCTTTTATGATTTCATGAAATTTAGTGACACACCGACTGCAGCGGCATCTACCGGACCCATTTGTGAATTCAAACTTTGCAGGGACCCACTCGAACATACACAAAAAATATCATTGTAATCGTCCCTGCCCTTTAGGAGATGATCAGAGGCACACCGACTGCAGCGCCAACTACTGGGTCCATTTGTATTTATTTCCAAACCATCCAGGGACCCATTGAAATATACACACAAAATTTCATCCAAAACGGTCCAGTCCTTTAGGAGGAGTAAGTTAACAAACACACGTACAGAAGAATTATATATATAAGATAGTATAGATGTGTATGCACTGAGCACTCTTCACATTGGCAACTATAAAATACTGTTGACTTCGTTGAGCAATTTTAACAATGTCAAGATACTTCTGGATGAATTTTAAAGAATGTGTTGCATTTCAGATATGCTTTTGATATTTATTTAAAAATATTTTTAATATTGCAATATGTTTTACTGATCCTACGCTATTTGCTAGAATTCAAATATAGTTTTTTCGACTCTTATCGAGAATGCCAAAAGATACCTTATTTTTTATATTGCTAGAATATTAGGTAAAAGAAGGTTTTTGTTTAAAATTATTTCTAAAATACGATAATATGTAACGGTATAACCAACATATTTTATAGAGTATAAATAGTACTTACTATATAATAGTTGAAATTTGAACAATATTGGTCTTTTATAATATTTTATATAATATAGTTTGTAAAATTATAAAAAAATAGTTCATAAAGCTTAGAAACAAAAAATATGATACATAGGGACTTAATATATAATTAATTATACAAATAACCTGACGCTGTCTTTGCTCGTAAGTTTGACGTAATTTGGCCTAAAAACTTCACCTACTAGTTCCCGACAGTCTAGTGGTTTAGGCTGAGTACTGAACACGTAGTACAGAATTATGTTTTTCTGTGATAACATATAATAATCACAGAAGTTTTTAATATTTTACTAATAGTTTAAGTATACATTGAAATTATAATATAATTTAGAGAATAAAATTAAATATATGATATAGATATTAGATATTATATAGTTTAACTTACCGCAGCCACATCCAATGGAGGGTCGTCAGGCTCAGGAGGGTACGGTGGGAGGAAAGCTCTCTTCGGGGTCCTCATCGGAGGCTGGGTGGTGAGCAGAGTGCGCGCGAGGTGTGCCAGGTCCGCAGTACTCGATACCGCACGCGCTTGGGCACACAACGATTCATACCGACGAAGTTGATTATTACTCTGTTTGTAAATAGATATTTGAATAAATAATAATCAATTTAATGTGTATAAGTGGAAGATACATTGACATCGATTTTTTTTGCTTATCAATTAAATTCCTAAAATAATCTATATATAGGTAATATACGAAATAACTAAATTAAAAAAAAATGTTTAGAAGAATTTTTAGCGAAAGGGAAATAACTCTATAAAGTCAATCGGGTAATGGTACATCCATTACTAACCTATTGAAGATAAAAGAGATCTTATGGTTCAACCTTAACACTTAAAAAGATTAATTTCTTTCATTTTATTTACATTCCTGTTTATATAATTATTTTGCTACAAAACCTTTTCACTTATTATTTCTCCATCTTGACAAATGGCGTCGCTGACGGCGGTTGTTACATCCGTCAAAATCTCTTCCAGCTCCTGAAATTAATGCACATTCATTAATTATATGAAGTTCTCTAAAAAGCTAAATAAAACTGGCAACGGCATAAATCTTTTATCCTATAATATTACTACTCGTACACCTTACGATGTAATAGAATATTCTTCCTCGTAATTTTCATTACGTAAATGTGTTTTTGCCAAACAAAGACATTAACATACAATACAAGAATGACCAAATACACTTATTATATTAACTACTTACTAGCGATTTAGATAAAAATAGTTATTGTGTTTTCCCGTGGGAATGAAAGATTTTCCTATAGTAAAAGGTTTAAGATATCCTAAATGTTGACCCGAGTAATAAGTTATTACTGCAGAAAATTTAGTTAAAATCCATTCAGTATTTTTTGCGTGAAATATACCAGATATAGTTATTTATTTTCACATAAATATAAATAGATATACCTACATACAAACAAAGAGACAAAATTTTCAATAACTATTATTTTGGGGAATATATTCTCTACATATTGTGTACAGAATATAGACCTTACAGCTCACATAATAAATACAATACGTAACAAACAGTCATTGTTTTTGTACAGATTTCGCTTTATCACAATTTTTATATGTATGGATAAATTTATGTTTTGTACATTTATGTTAGTATAATTTTAGTTTCACAGTTTTTTTGTAATTTCCCGGAAATAAAGTTTCTTAGAAGGATATGGAAAAGGACAGAGATATCGCTTTCAGATATGCACAATCTTGCATGAATCCTGGTTTCAAAGCACGGAGACGTCAGTTTAATTAAAATCCGTTCGTGTATCTATTCTGCGCCTGAAGTTTCCTTTCATATTTGAGATTAACAGTAGCATGGATGTTAGGCTCATAGTTTATGGAATATTTTAAATGCGAATGGTTATATGTATCTGTTTGTAATTTCTTCACGTTGAAATAGCTGTACAGATTTGGATAGAATTCAGTACACAGATAGATTATGATTTGAGTATCACATAGGCACTGTAAGTCCTGTTCATTAAGTTTATTATTGTTAAAATAAAGATATTTATGAAATCACACTTCAAGTTAACTTATTTCTTATCATAATTTCATTTCATTTTTCATGAAGAAAGAGAAATCAAGAGAACATTTTCTATACATATATGTATAATAAAATTGTATCTAAGCCGAATCTGTACATTAAATATTTTTTGGAAAATCTTATTGAAATAGACATTATTTTTGATACAGAGGCTGAATCTATAGTTGTTAACATTTTTGTCTGCCTGTTTGTTACCGCATCACGAGAAAACCACTGGAGGGATTTTGATGAAATTTGGTATGATGGTAGCTGGTTATCCGAGTCAACATATAGAATAATTCTTACCGCGGGAAAATATCTCATTTCTGAGAAAAAATACAAAAACTGCAATGTAAGAGTATACTTACATATATGTAAAACCTAAGAATTTGGTATAGCCTCGGGCAATGCTAGTCTTCTATAAATTTTAAAGTCTTAGAAATGAAATATATTTTCATGACGAATTTAGTTAAGAAATTACTTTTACCAACTTACATATGTTTGAATTCAAAGTGGATTTTGCAATCTTGCTATATTTTTATCCAAAAGTTAGACAGACGGTTTTAACTTATTATGTTGAGGAATAAAAGTTCTGTCGAATAAAATTGAATGGGTGGAGTATTCGTACATTAATTTAGTTTAGCTTGTAAACTAAGATTAACTATATCAATATACTAGCGGCTCACCCTCGCTTCGCTCGGGTTTGTCTCTAGTACGTTTTAAATAGATATAAATAGTTATTAGTCAGCGTTAGCCATATACATTTTTTTTAATAATATTGACAAATATTGACATTAATATTTATACGATAATAACGTCACTCAATTGTCATCAATGTTTTGCCTTTCTGGAACCTCTCTACTAATACTTAAACTTTATGGTATGGTATTAAAGTTCAAATTGACTTTTAAGTATTATTAAGAATCTTTTGTATGGGAGTATAGAAAAGTGTGTTTTTAGACTTTTTCAGGCATTTTTTTTAATTTTCTCTTCGTAAGAACCATCCTCGTACTTCAAGGAATATTCTAAAAAAAGAATTAGCGACATCGATTCAGCTGCTCTCGAGATTTGCGCTTACCAACACATTCAACGATTCATTTTTATATTATAGATGTAGTTGACTTAAGGGAAAGCTAATTTGTTTTTTTTTATCAAATGCTATATATAGATGCTGATAAAAAGATAAATTTAAACTATAATCACCAGTTTATTACAGCTTTAAAAGAATAGTAGCAATTTCGTTGTTTTCCATATCAACTTTTTTGTTTATGATTGATGTATAATAATATAGTTACTAATATTGCCAATGGAAAAATATTTTGATAGATAATTTTTTTCACGTCACAACAAAGCAACACATCAATGTTTATATTCTGAATAGAAATAGTTTATAGAGTGGTTCGTATATGGATTACAGGCTAGGTACTTCATAACCAAGTACGTGGGTACACCATGTATGTAAAGGATCTGCTCTGGAAAATAATCGTATGTAAAAACGCGCATAGTGCATAGACATAGGTATAATATTTATATAATAATTAATATATCTCAAAAAAGGCAGTAGTAGTCCAGTGGTAACGCGCTTGCTTGAGAAACCAAGTGAAGCGGGTTCAAATCCCGGGTCTCGCACCTCTGATATTATCATGTGCGAATCATTTCTAACATGATTACCACTTGCCTTACGGTGAAGGAAAAAATATCGTGAGGAAACCTGCATGTCTGAGAGAACCTAGCAAGTTTTCGAAACACATGTGAAGTCCACCAACCCGCACTTGGCCAGCGTGGTGGACTATGGCCTGATCCCCCTCGTATTGAAGGGAGGCCCGTGACCAGCAGTGGGACGTTAAAAAGGGCTGAATACATAATATATCTATAAATGGTACTTAGGAGATCATAAGACAGTATAAATAGATATAAAATAGCTTTTCATATTTTATATCTTTAAGATTCGATTCCAGATTCGTAATCTTGTAAAAGATAAATAATATATAAAATTATTATAAGGAAAATTTTATATAGCAGAATCAAGTAGCGTAAAAATAAAAATATCAAGTATATTATGAGATTTTCTTAAATATTGTCAAAGCGCGGAAAACTCATAAAGGTGTGTTATGTCGCTATACTTAACGCGTGTTAGCTTGAGCAGAAATAGATATATTTTATTCGAGATTTTCTGCTCTCAAAGATTTGTCGCATCAAAATATTTGTACAGGATGGTTGAATATAATCTACTAGAATAAATATGAGCCTTTTTTTCAATATGAATCCTTTTGTCCAAAAATATCTATGAAAATTGGGCTGATATAATAGTATACAAATTGCACTAGATACTTCCGTTATGGACACAATATGAGCCAATGTAAAGTGAATTGGGAAAAATATAAGAGTTATTTTATTTGAAGGGTTGTCAAAGTGAGTAGGTAAGAACGAGCTTTCAAAATTTTTTGTCTCTAGTTTTTGACTGTAGTTTTTGAATGATATGTATTTTACCAAAAAGGTTATTTTATAATTTAATTGTGTATTATTATTATGTATAATTGTTAGTAAATTAATGATATATAGACTTAAGAATCTCAGGAGAGCTCAAGCTAAAACTGGTATAAATGTATTAGACCGATCATAATAATATTACACTTGGCTTCTTTTGTACTCTGAACAAATTTTGAATAAATATTCGAACAATATTAACAGTCAGCTATTTTGACATGATGACATTTAAAATAAAAACAAAAAGATATAAACGATGTTATTTTATGTTTTTTCCATGTGTCCTGATTATCTTCTATAGGTACATATAATAAAATAGTAATTCAGTGAAATCTGTATATGCAATATTTTTTAAAATCAATGACTGTAACGTATTATGTAAAGAATAAAGACCCCAAAACAAAAAAGTCTGCAATAGCATAAATTTTTCTCCTAAGGTACACTTGCAGTAACTATTCAATAAAACACGTATAGGTAAAAGGTATCCAGGGACGCACCCAAGTGAAGCGAGCGTAAGTCGCTAGTTTTCAAATTCAAAATATCTTATTCAATATTAAATTATTACAATTTTTTACTGAACGTCATGAGTCTATTACCAGTTCGGGAAGAAGAAGCCTCAGACCTGAGAAGAGCTGGCGAAAGAAACTCAGCGGGACAAAGTTCGAAATACGATTAAATTTATGTAACTTTTGTAAAGGAATACATTAAATATTATTTCTTTTATTAAAGTATTATTCAAATACAAGTCTTACCTGCAATATTGTGGGTAGCGTGTGCTTGTGATATTGTTCGATCATCGCATTTGTTGCGGTGAGCTGTTGCACGTAGGTGTTATGAGAGTCGTAGTACGTGGCGAGATTTGTTGGGTTCGAATTGTTGCAATAGTTGAGAAATGCAGTGCGATAATCCGAACGACTCTGAAATTAAAAGATATTGCTTGAAAATTCTATCTTTCTGTCTGTTATATCCTCTATGTCAAAGTATATGTGACTAACTCTTATAATTAACGAACTGAAACTGAAACTCGAACATTGACCCTGTTTGAAGTCGGTTAATTTTTTTAATTAAATTAATTTATCATATCAGCGGTGGCATAAAAATATTCATTAATTATTGACAATAAGTTGCTGCCTTTGCACTTACTAAAGTAGTGAAGCTTTATAAGAGAAATTAAATAGGAGCTTTTTTATTATATTTTTTTAAATTTAGTAAAACTCTATATTAACATAGTGGTTGAAGAAGATTTTTTCTGCTCTTCGTAAATTCTTCTCACGTTAATAGACATTAGATATCAACATATTAATTATGTAAAGTTAATTAAATATATACACAAAAATTCGACCACTAACTTCCTACGAAAATATAAAATAACAAATTTTAAAATTATAGCGACGAGATAAAGCTATTACAACGCAGTTTATTTAATAGCACACATTTTGCTTGTAAATGATAATAAATACATTTATTTGGCAAAATTATATTTGTTTGATCATATACTCAGCATGGTATGATTTGTTTGATGTTTAAACGTTGAAAACAAAATCTGCGAACATTTATTCTATTTTAAATAAGTAAACATTTCAAAACATTTCAAGTATATTTTGGTTTGAACAATAATATGGTTTGTTCTAAAAGTCAAAAATTATAATATAATAATAATATTTGTAAATTTTCTTTAACATCTTTTTAACTTAACTAATTTAAAAGTAATTTTAAAACTATGATTAAATTCAGTGTGTATGATATGTTTAACAACTTTATTATTTGTTATACTTACAATTTAGTAATTAAATTGATGTTGATATATTTGATACTTTATTAATTTTCTAGTAATATTCCCAGTTCTCATTATTAGGTTTATAAATTTACGTTATTGGGTGATCTAATTCTATTTCAAGTACCAAATTTTTGCCTTGAAGAAAATACTACGTGACAGACGGACAGACAGATGATGTTATTTTAGTCTCGCCAATTTCTTGACTTTTTCACCAATTGCTGATTAATTTCGTTCCTTTTAAAATTTTCATAAAACCATAAATATGAGACTTTTATTGCATTGTACTTTAATAGAAAATGATAAATACAATGAACACTTTGCAGGATATCAAAGCGAGAGTTTTTTAAGGACGCGCGGATGCCACCCGCGCGTTTCAGCCTGAGTGAAGTGAAGGCAGGTCGTTAGTGTTATAAATATAGAATATTATTTAGCTCTATTGATATTTCCTGCTAACAGCTACGTAGGTATAATAGTATTATAATTGAAATCGCTTACTGAGATAAAGAAGTCTTACCATGCATTGTTGTTTCTTCAAAATATAATAAACTAGCATTGCCCGCGGCTCCACCCGCGTTCAGATGACAAAAAACCAAATTCCTAGGTTTCACATATTAATATAATCTTACAATGCAGTTTTTGTATTTTTTCTCAGAAATGAGATATTTTCCCGCGGTAAAAAGTATCCTATATGTTAACCTGGATAACCAGCTATCATCATACCAAATTTAATCAAAATCTGTCCAGTGGTTTTTTCGTGATGCGGTAACAGACAGACAGACAGACGGACGGACGGCCGGACGGACAGACGACAGACGGAAAGACAGACATACAGACAGAGAGACAAAAATGCTAAAAACTAGAGTCGGACTCTGTATCGATAATAATGTCTATTTCAATAAGATTTCCCAAAAAATATTTAATGTACAGATTCGACTTAGTTACAATTTTATTATATGTATAGATAAATAATAAATAAATGTAGGTGCACATGGCAAAGTTCGTGACGTGACTTTGATTCTATTTGACCATTGTGGCAACGACGACTATAAATTGTACTCGGGGCGCATTAGGTACTGCATAGCATCAGTAGAGTGTTTTAATTAATTTTAATTGACATTCCAAGCATTTATCTTTAAACCTATCCAAACCTAATCTTCTAAAATTCTAATCGTTGTTCTATTGTCTAAGTATCATGTTGGTATAGTATTTGAATGGCCTCTTTGAAGTTATAAAGTATAAAGGTGCTGTTGGTATGTCACTGATCTTCTCCTAAACGGCTGGGACTATTTTAATGATACTTTTTGTGTATGTTTGAGTGGGTCCCTGCAAAGTTTGAAAATACAATTGTACTCAGTAGGTGGCGCTGCAGTCGGTGTGCCACTAAATTTTCATAAAAGACTCCATTTTCCGAGCAATAAATAAATTTAAATTGTTGATTAAGCAAAATAAAAATCGATGTGTGTATGTATGTTTTCTATGGACTCCAAATAGCTGCAGCGATTTTTATAAAATTTTCAGGTAATCTTCAGATTAGCCCAGCGGGTGATCCTATGAATTTTGTTAGCGATAGGTATATGAAATATGTATACTGTTATTTTAGAAAAAAGGGGTTCGGCACAAAAAATATATAATAAATTCGTTAACTATCAATGATACATAAGCTATAACAAATTCGTTAAATTTAATGTAACTCTAAAAACAATATTGAAAGTGAAAATAAATCTATTGCATTACTAGATATCTCAAATGTCGTATAACTCTATGTACGTTCAAATATTTATTACTCTGAGCTCCGCTCGCGTATTACGGGGATAAAAAATTGCCTATATCACTCCCATCTGAATTCTCTACCTGCCAGTAAAAGTCTCGATAAAATCGTTTAAGCCGTTCTACTTCTATCTTCTATACTGCGAGAAGAGACCTTATCCCCCAATGAGTGCCAAAAAATGCTATTATTATTGAACCTTTTATTAATATTAAAATAAATTTTCTTGAATGGATGGTTTTAGCTCTATTTATTTCATAAAATATTTGCATATAATTGTATGTAATTTTGTATTCTATAAAAAAAAACATTGCGCAGATTACGAGTCATCTCTTGTATACGTAGAACCAGTGTTATTTAAATTCGAAGAAAAAAACAATGAAACAAAATCCAAATTTATGAAACCAATATTGCGATATAGCTTTTTTCATAAAAATAGAATCAACTCCCTTCATGATAGGGTAATTGAACAAAAATATAGCCAGCTCCAAAAAATTAAAATTTAGTACAAAAATGTTTTTTTTTTAAATATCATACCTAGTATAGTATTATATGATCTGTGCCGTTACGGATAATTTAAACGCTCGCCAATGGCGTATGTTTCAACTACTTTGAATTTCCCACCTGTTTTTGCACTTTTTAATAATTATTTTCTTTCAAAAAGAAGTTACATAAAAATATATGAATATAGGTTTAATTCAAAAGCAATAAAGATTATAAAAAATATATTTTACCTTTATTTAAATTACACTTATATTCCTTACTGATTAAAACTAATAGATACAACTTACGAGTGTTACTGAGCAAAAGTAGCAGTAGTAGTTCATCTTCCTCAAAATACATATTGCTACTGATTTGAATGAAATTAAAATTGTGACTTGTTGAGCACTTGATACCAACTGCAGCATTTGGTATCAACTGCTCCAGCAGTTATCAATAGCAGCTTCAAACTGTTGACTATGACTGCAAAGCGGTCCGTTTATGTTGGTCACAGGCTAACTGCTCGAGCGGTCTGTGTATGGCCGGCCTAACGGTATAACTAAATGTATGAAGCCTTTTTTTAAAGTCCCACTACTGGGAACGGGTCTCCCTTTAATACGAGGGGGTAGTCCACCGCCATCCTGGCAGAGTGCGGGTTGGCGAACTTCACATATCTTTCAAAAAATTGTTAGGTTTTCTCAGACATGCAGGTTGCTACTCGATATTTTCCTTCACCGTATGTCCGAAATGATTTGCACATGAGATTGTCAATATAATAAGCGATCGCGTTAAAACTATCTTAGTATAATTGTATAGTTCTAGTACAAAATTTAATAAGGAACTTTCTAAGTACTCTAATAATTATTTAAATTTCAATGTTCCAAGTTATTTATTTTAATTAAATGGCCATCGATGTTACAGAACGTGTTAATAGTAACCGCAAGCTTGATTGCTTTCTGCAAAGTGAACTTTGAACTTAGAATTAACTACGTGCTATATTGCGATATAATGATTTTAAATACGAGTAGCGTACATTAGATTATAAAACCAAAAGTTACCATTTAAAAGCCACTTGATAGTGTTATGAGAAAGTATATGTCATAACACCAAACGTTGCATGTTCGAGTCACGTTTGGAACAAATATTTTCTGTATTGGGTCTAATATATGTATATCCACGACTTAAAGCGGTCTCTTTGATATAACCAATTTCCTACCACAGATCATATAATACTATAACTGTACTACTTAGTACTACTACTGACAATTTCTTGATAGAAAAACCTTATAGCCGTTTTTGACTGGATCAATTTCTATTAGAGAGACTCGATCCAGGATATTATGTTGAACTGCTGCCGATTGCTATTGATTATAACTTCCTTATTTATTATTCATAATGACTACCCTATTGGGTAATTACTATGAATGAGTAATAAGGTATTTATAATCTGTAATAATCCAAAGAGATTTGATATATTTCATAATTTGATATACATAATACCTATTTGATTATATCTAACTCGTTGATCTTTCTTGATTTTGATGCAATCTGACTGAAAATATAAATAAATAGTCGGATTTTTAACATATAGTATAAATCTAGTAATAAAAAGAACTTATTCTATAGTAATAAAAAAAAAATAATTAAAGTTTATACTTTGATTGATTGATTATTCAATCTCATAGAAGTCAGTATGAGTTGGATGCATACTAAACGGTTTCTTAATTGAACTTTGCTTTACTTGCAACACACATCATGTGTGACATATACGATTATGTACAAGTATGTTTGTAGGACAAGAGCAGAATTGTGAATTAATTATTATCAACAGCTTAGTACACGGACATTGGAGTGTTTGATAAATTAAAGAATTGACAATATGAAAATAATTTTAG